GAACACTTCCGAACAACTGGATGCCCTCATGGAGCAGCTTCTGCTCCGCTCCCTCACACAAAGTCATACATTCATCGGGCGAATGGTTTAGTGGTATAATACTCCCTTAGCATAATTCAGCTTTCTGAAGAATCTGGGAGTGGTCCAGGGTTCGATTCCCTGTTCGTCCAACTCAGGTGGTTCAAACCCACCATTATCCCTACTTTTTAGCTTTTGTTGCTTTTATTTTTTAGATTGTAAAAGTAATCCAAAGAGAAGAGTAATTTAGTTAAGTTATTCAAAGTTGATATAAAAATTAAGTAATTTATCCCAAAGTAAGAATAGTCTTAAGCATAACAGTCTGTTAAATATCAGCCTTTTGGATTTTCATCGCGAGGCAGCAGAAAGCTTCAGTAGTATCTTAGGCTTTTACCAAAACTCATATTGGGATTCATATAAATACCCCGGACATCTGCAACAGGTCGTGGATCGCGCGCTTAAGACTTTTATCCACAGTACTGAAGGTAAATAAAGTAATCAAAAGCTCCCCTAAGTTCATACTTAGATTGCATAAGGTTATCATAAATTTACCTATTCTCGTAGGTGACTGAGGTCGACAGTGAGTTGCTTGCTGACTCATCGGTTTTTTTATTTTCTATCCCTACGAGTACGACCTCGGACACTTCAACACAGCAACACAACCCAATCAGTATGGATGACTTATCGAATCTCGAGTTGCTATCCCTCGTTTCGAAGGTATCTTCAGAGTTGAAGAACCACATGAATCTAGAGGATAAAACTGTAGCTGAATTCCTCATCGATAAACGGACCAAATGCAGCAACTTTGAGGACTTTCGCGACGATCTAGCAAAGGCCCTCCCGTCGATTCCTCTCAGTCTCATAGAAAGTATCGACCGTTTAGTGCTTGCTCTGCATCCGCAGTTCAAAGGAAAAGTCAAGGCCAATCACGAAGAGCACCATTCAAGAACCCTAAAAGAGAAGGAGAAGGTCTTCAGTGGGCTCGCGCTGCCAGATAACCAGCCTGCGCGTGACGATGGTTCGGGCGCATTCGACGACACATTAGCACTACTAGAGGGTCTAGAAGGGAAGGCGAAAAAGGAGAAGTCCGCTAGAAAACGAAGTCGAAGCCCCCGCGAAGGCGATTACAAAGAGTCAAGGAGGAGGAGAAAAAGGTCGCGCTCCGGAGAACGACGAAAACGAGATAAATATCGATCGCGGTCACGCTCGCGGTCGCATGAGCGAGGCGACGAAGATTGGCGTGACGGGTACCGCGATTCGCGCAAAGATCGACGAGGGCGCCGGCGACACGACGACGATAACGATGACCGGTTTCGCAATGCTCCAGCTCCTGACGTCGACGATTCACCGCAGCTGCACAAGGTCTACGAGGGACATGTTACAGGATTGAAAGACTTCGGCGCCTTTATCAACCTGCACAATGTAAAAGGCAGAGTTGATGGCCTCGTACACGTATCCCGAATGTCTGCTGGACAGCGCGTCAACCACCCGTCGGATCTGGTGTCGCATGGACAAAAAGTCTGGGTCAAGGTGACAAGTCTCGATAAGGACCAGAATGGCCGCGACCGTGTGGGCTTATCAATGAAGGATGTCGATCAGTCGACTGGGGAGGACCTAGAACCACAAGCTCGAATGACGACTGGTGCCAACATGGAAGCGCTGGGAGGGGGTCTAAGAGACGGGTTTGCGGAACCAACCGGCATGCCTCGAGATAACTTGGGACCTCCACGACGACAGAAGAAGAGAATGACTTCTCCTGAAAGGTGGGAGATCAGACAATTGATCGCATCAGGAGTGGCCAAGGCCTCGGATTACCCCGACCTGGAAGAAGACTACAACGCGACTCTCCGCGGAGATGGTGAGCTTGAGCTTGAGGAGGATGTCGATATCGAGGTTCGCGAGGAGGAACCGCCGTTTTTGGCCGGACAGACCAAGCAGTCCCTAGAATTATCGCCTATTCGCGTTGTCAAGGCCCCAGAAGGCTCTATGAATCGAGCAGCTATGTCTGGTACCAACTTGGCGAAAGAACGCAAGGAGCTCAAGCAACAAGAAGCCGATGCGGCTGCCAAGGACGAGCCCAAAGAGAACCTATCCTCTCAATGGCAAGACCCTATGGCTGATCCCGATAAGAGGAAGTTCGCTAGCGATTTGAGGAACGCCAGGAAGAATCAGCCTTCTGAAGACGTGCCCGAATGGAAAAAGGCAGTCATTCCAAAGGGACAGTCTCTGGGCAAGCGCACGAACCTTAGCATCAAGGAGCAACGAGAGTCGCTTCCTGTGTATGCATTCCGAGAGCAACTGATCAAGGCTGTTCACGAAAACCAGATCTTGATCGTAGTCGGAGAAACAGGATCAGGAAAGACGACTCAATTAACGCAGTATCTCGCTGAAGCTGGGTTTGCCAATGATGGTATCATTGGCTGCACGCAACCTCGCCGTGTTGCTGCCATGTCTGTCGCTAAGCGAGTAGCGGAAGAAGTTGGCTGCAAGCTTGGTGAGGAGGTCGGATATACAATTCGATTTGAAGACTGCACCAGTCCTTCGACGAAGATCAAGTACATGACAGATGGTATGCTTCAGCGTGAGATTCTGGTGGATCCCGACATGTCTCGATACTCCTGTATCATGCTTGATGAAGCTCACGAGCGTACCATTGCCACGGATGTGCTATTTGCCCTGTTAAAGAAGGCTCTCAAGCGACGCCCCGATATGAAAGTCATTGTCACCTCAGCTACTCTCGACGCAGACAAATTCTCTGCGTACTTCAACGAATGTCCTATTTTCACCATTCCCGGTCGAACATACCCTGTCGAAATCCTCTATTCAAAGGAACCCGAGTCCGATTACCTAGATACCGCTCTTGTCACAGTCATGCAGATCCATATTACCGAGCCCAAGGGCGACATTCTTCTTTTCTTGACAGGTCAAGAGGAAATTGACACAGCATGCGAAGTCTTGTATGAGAGAATGAAAGCTTTAGGGCCTAACGTGCCAGACCTCATCATTCTTCCTGTCTACGCTTCACTTCCGACAGAAATGCAAAGTCGAATTTTCGATCCTGCACCCCCTGGCAGCCGTAAGGTTGTCATCGCCACAAATATTGCAGAGACTTCCATTACTATCGACGAGATTTACTACGTTGTCGACCCAGGCTTCGTCAAGCAGAACGCTTACGACCCCAAATTGGGTATGGACTCTCTAGTAGTTACACCAATTTCTCAGGCCCAGGCAAACCAAAGAGCTGGTCGAGCAGGTCGAACTGGACCCGGAAAGTGTTTCCGTCTATATACCGAGGCAGCTTACCAGTCTGAAATGTTGCCGACTAGTATCCCCGAAATCCAACGACAAAACTTATCCACAACAATCCTCATGCTCAAGGCAATGGGCATCAACGACTTGCTTCACTTTGACTTCATGGACCCGCCCCCTATCAACACCATGCTTACAGCACTGGAGGAGCTATATGCCCTCAGTGCCCTCGACGACGAAGGTCTGCTCACTCGACTGGGGCGAAAGATGGCTGATTTCCCTATGGAACCTTCCCTTGCCAAAGTTCTTATCGCTGCTGTTGACCTAGAATGTGCGGATGAAGTCCTCAGCATCGTGTCAATGCTTAACATTCCCACCGTCTTTTACCGCCCCAAAGAGAAGCAGTCTCAAGCAGATCAAAAGAAGGCCAAGTTCCACGATCCCCACGGTGACCACCTAACCTTCCTCAACGTCTACAACTCATGGAAGCAGAGCGGCTACTCAGCACCCTGGTGTTTCGAGAACTTCATCCAAGCGCGTTCCATGCGTCGCGCAAAGGACGTCCGCGATCAAATCGTCAAGATCATGGACCGCTACAAACACAAGATCAAGTCCTGCGGCCGCGAAACCGAAAAGGTCCGCCGGGCCCTCTGCGCAGGCTTCTTCCGCAACGCAGCTCGCAAGGATCCCCAGGAGGGCTACAAGACCCTTACCGAGGGCACACCCGTGTATCTGCACCCCAGCTCCGCGCTCTTTGGCAAGCAGGCCGAGTGGGTCATCTATCACGAGCTCATCCTCACGAGTAAAGAATACATGCACTGCACCACGAGCATCGAGCCCAAGTGGCTCGTTGAGGCGGCGCCGACCTTCTTCAAGGTCGCGCCGACGGATAAGCTGAGCAAGAGGAAGAAGGCGGAGAGGATCCAGCCGCTGTATAATAAATTTGCTACTGAGGATGATTGGAGGTTGAGTGCGCAAAGGAAGGGCGGAAGAGGAGGAGGTGGTGGTGGCACATGGGGTTAATGAGTCCCCTAAGATTATGCTAACTTGCCTAAATATTTGTCACTTTAGGGTCGAGATACTAAAGTCTTCCCTAAATTTTATCAAACTCCTAAATATTTTGCTAGAATTAGAGTACCTAGAGGCTGTCTAAACCTATCCTAAATTCCTCTAAGTTTGTAGGTAACTATTCTTGTCACTCAGTCTCGAGATCTGAAGTTTTCTTGCCTCCCCTGTCTTCAATACTTCGTTCATGAAGTGCCATTTCTCTGAACTTTACTCCGTACTCCGTATGTTTCCAACGCTCGTCACTACCTAGGTCGTGCAGGGACCTATGACCAATAGCTAGTATGACCAAACTTGGTTGAATATGCCGAGCATTTACTAAATTACCTAACTGTGTCCTGAACTTATGCTCAGTCTATCCTAAATTGTTCTAAACCTGTACAAATATTCTTCTCACTTTACTAACGCTTGAGGTGTGAGGCCACTGAATCTTGGGTGGCCCAAGCTCCACTATCAATCGTGCTGATTGGTGGCGTGGCCATTGCCTCCACATCCAATGCCCATGACATTCATCGGCCGCCTTGAGCCTCCACTGACGAATACCTCCATCTTCATCTTCAACCTCATCTCACGCTCAATGGTACAATCTCGATTTTTTTATGCTTCGCAGAGAAGCTATTTTTCACAACAACAACGAGACAGAAACAACATGAGCTCGAGTCATCAAAATGTCGCCTCCATTGTTGAAGACCGTTCGCACATTGAAGGATTCCACATTTGAAGCTTGTGCCTGTATCAGTACACATTTGAAGGCATCTGCATCTGCAACCGCAGAGAACACAGCGAAAGCTGACAGAAATGACCTCAAATCCCTAACTATCGAGTTAAGACTTCTTGGAGGCACACTCTATAGTCTTGAGTCTCTCATCGTTGAGTTGTCTGTAGACAATGATGCTGCCGACAGCACCCTTGGTATCACCCCTAGCGCCTCAGGATCCGAAAATGACCCTTCACAAGAATGGCCAATTGTCGATGGGTATGAGATACTCCTCACTGCCATAAAAGGCTTTCACCATCTCGCCACTTCTGATGGGATCAAGGCCGCTAGATCATCACTCCAGGACATCCGATCCAAACTAGCGTTTGTGCTCGGAGTCTCAGACACCCTCGAGGATATCTCACTTCGGCTCACTCTACTCGAATCAGAGCCGTTGCCTCAACTTCTGGTCCAGAAGGAATATGACCCAGACGCTATTGAGTCACCTGTACAGACCCCCTATGACGATGAGCAGGGTGAAGCAAAACCCGAAGATGTTTCCGTTTGGCTAAATATCCTGAACTCGCCTGAAAATGATCGCGAGCCTGCAGAATACAACAAAGAGATCACATTAGTCCAGTCACGCCGCATCACAGAGCCAGCATATAGAATAGCAGCTATACGATGGCCAAAATACGCAGAGGTCTACTGGCAAAAACTTCGACCCCAAGTCTGCTCCCTCTTTCGTATCCAAAAGTCGTACAACTTTGTACAGTGGGTTCTTGAGTATGCCAGGGAGACGTACCCTCGAACATTCGGCACCATGGCCCTCTCGCCAAGATGTCTTCTCGAGCTGACTGATGCGCTCTGCAACGGATCTATCCTACCACTTCATATTGCTGCTGCCTTCGGGTTGCCTAACCTTTGCAGAGACCTTCTTTCGATGGGCGCCAACGTTAACCAGCCCGGCCTTCTCGGCACGCCACTATATTGCGCCCTCGTAGGCAGCAAGGTTCTTATCACCCGCACAGAGCCAGTATCGTGGCCGACTCTTCTCGTTGGTAACGACTCTGATGTCGATCAGGCAGCAACTGTCCTATTGCTTGTCGAAAACGGCGCAGATTGCTCGTTTCGGTATTCTTGGAAGGATGCCTCTGAAGAGGTATCACTAGCAGGTTTGGCTTTTTGGACTGCAATGAAGACCAAACATGAAGCAATATTCACAAACATCATCAAAGGATTTGCGAATGCCACTAAAGGATCCACCGACACCACTAAAGGAGATGCGCTGGACTCTTCTTTTTGTCTCCTTTTGCAGCGAGAACCTGTAGTCAAACGTGGTCTGCTCCACCGAACTCGATTTGCGCGCTTGCTCACATACGTCTATGACCTGACTTTGGCCGACATTGAAAAAGAGTCAACGGAGCACAATTGGCTCCAAGAGCTGGTAGCTCGACTCATGGTGCATGCCAACATCAAGCTTTGCCCCTTGGGTGACGGAAAGGTGGACACATTGAAAGACAACAACTTTGCGGCTGCCGTTCGGACTGCCGTTTTGGACTTCAATGTGATCTTGGTGGATCGTCTGATCAAAGACCCAAGGTTCAATGCCAACTTCAAATACGACAAGGAAGAGACTCTCCTCCACATGGCTGCTGAGTCTGCGCAGAATGAGATTCTGGAAATGCTAATTGAAACCGGGGCCGATATCAGAGCCAGAGACTCAAGCGGTCGCACACCACTCATGGTCTGTAACGAAGTCAGTCCTATGGCTAAGCTGATTCTTGAACACGGTGTACCGACTTTTGATAAGGATAATGGCGGCCGCAACATTTGGCACTACTTTGCTGCTACTAACGAAGACGACATACTCAAATTCCTGTGGGACAACGATCCTTACAAGATCCGCAACTTGAACGCCGTTGATGAACAAGGGCATACGCCACTGCAGTCAGCGTTTGCTCACGTCGAGGCTCTTCAGCAATCTCCCAAGACCTCTACGTCCGCCGCACCGTTTGCAGCTTATTTTTTGCTCGAGAAAAGTCAAGGGTATATACGAGCCGAGGGCAATGAGAACCTGGCTCGATGGGCTGTCGAATGGGGCAATCTGGGGCTGGTACGGCAGCTGTTCCACCTCTTTCCCCAGGTTAACATGAATGATGAATTACTCCTCAAGTCACTTAATATGTCGGCTTCACCGGAGATGGTCTCATTGGTACTTGAAAGGGCTGGGCCCTCTCGGCCATTCGCTGATGGCACAACGGCAGCAGAGACAGTTATCACAAACGTTAAGCTCTTGAAGGAAGGTCGTTTGACTCGTAACCCGTCGTCGCATCCTTCCTGCGCTCCACAAATGACGCGTAGCGCCTATATGCAGCTTCTTACGCCTGAAGTCATCAAATCGCGAGATTCCAAGGGGCGAGGCATTTGGCTGCGGTTTACACAGGATGTCATCCCATTGATTAGTACTCGTGCGCTAGAACATCCTCCATCCCTATATTTCCTATCCTCTTTCATGATGATGGCTATATCGTGCTTGGTTAAAGCGGGCGCCTTGGCAGACTACGAGAAGGAGAGCAAAAAATGGGCCATCAGCTGCATAGCGACGAGAGGGGAGTTTTCTGCCTGGGAACCGAGATGGGAGAGTTGGCACATGCCCTTTGTCGCAACTATCTTGTCCCTCTGGCTTTACGACCCGAATCGGCATGACGGCGAACTCGGGATCATGGGCTTCTTCAACGAGGACGAGGCGGCAATTCTGCTGTGGACGCTCGTTAAGCTCCGCATGCCAGAAGTCGTCGAACTGCTCGTGCAATGTGGCTGCGACGCGCACAAGCCTAGGCCGCCTCTGCCCTTTGATGGGAGATCGGTCTTCGAGAGGTTCCTGGCTGATCAGCCTATTGATGTGAGCATGATCCGACCCCTGCTTCACGGCACGAAGCCACATCATATTAGGAAGCAGCAGCAGTACACATTCACAGAGCTTGTGCGAGTAGCTGATGAAGCAATCGCTGTGGAAATTCTCGGTCGATTGATTGATCGGGGATTGGATGTTGATGGCTTGGAAATTCCAGCGTAAGTCTCCTAATTCTGGTCTAAGCTCACCCTACTTCTGCCTGAGTTTACGTGAAGCTGTCCTACACTCTCCTAAGTTTTCTAACCTCATCCTACACTTCCCTAACTTTTCTAAACTTATCCTAAACTTAGGTCATCTAACTAATTCTGTGTCTCTTTAGTACTTCACCAATGAAATCACCCGCATCATCCCCGTCATTGCTCACAATAGCGATCTGCTCAAAGAAGATCCTCCTAGGGCGATTGCTGATCGAACGAGGCGCAGATGCCTCTTTGGCACCGCCAAATTCCATCAGTGCCTATCTTCTTGCCGCCAAGCTTGGATATGTGGTTATCCTTGAAATGATCATCGAGAAAGTCGGATCGGCAGAGTTTCCTTGGCTAGTCATATACGAACACATGGAGGATCGCGATACTTACAATGCCTTGCAGTTCGCGGCAGCCGGTGGTCATCGTGATGCCCTCACAACTCTCTTAGAGGCCACACCTCTGGCTGACAAAATCACTGCTGCTAGTCCGCGATTTGGCAGAACGTGCGCCCACCTGGCTGCAAAGGCTGGCTCTTTGGATTGCGTGAAGATATTGATGAGATACTCAAAACGTCTGTTCAGTGTGAGAGACCTGTCAGGAAGAACCCCTCTGTTTTTGGCAATCGTTGGTGGCAATCAAGAATTGATTCAATATATGAAGGATAATTTGCTGGACTATGATAATCCCCAGGATATGGGTATCATCTCACTGAACCCAGTTCCAGCCCAAAAAGACGACGACGACGACTCTGACAGTGACTCGCTACCAGAGTCATCTCATGGCGAAGCAACTCACGAGCAGAAAATCTCTGAACCAAGACAAATAGGCGCCATGATAGCAGATGCGATAGACCACTATCAACTCAGCCGAGACCCCTTGTTTAGGTCTATTCTCGACCACACCTCAAGGAAAGATTTAGTTTCTGCCATAATGCCTTGTGGCGGCTGTACCCTTCTCAGTTACACGGCAACAACCAACAAGATCCGTCCTATGCTGGAACTAGTGGAGTTGGGGTTTCGTGATTTCGTGGCTGGATGTGAGGAACATTGGCCGGACGGCTACAACGCACTTCTTTGCGCATGCCAGAATATCCGAATGCTGATGACCACCGATTTGTTTATCCCTGCAGATAAAGCACGCTCCTTCTTCAAACTGTGCTTAGATGCTTATTTGAAGGCGGGGATGTCATGGTTTCATCTTCCAATCTCACCGATCCACGCCCTTTTCCACCCCCGGAACAGTGGACAGGATATGGTTTACCATCAGAGAATAGTCCTTGAGGTATTCATCACACACCTAACTGAGCATGCCCAGAGATACTGGTAAGTAATACATAGAAGAACGAGAGGTCATACTGACAAGTAGCAGGGCGCAGATGAGGGCCATTGGGGTTACTGCCGGATTCGAGTTTTCTGCAAATGAGAGCATACAACGGAGAGTTCTACGCTACGCTTTGAACTTGAGGAAGCAAGTTACTCCGGATAATACCGACGCAACCCACAGTACGGTTCTACATGATGTGATACCTCTATGTTCACGAGGGGGCAGTAATCAATTTGATGGTTCTACAACATATCACTATGTAGCCAAACTCCTCATCAAAAACGGAGCCGATGTCAATGCGCAAGACTCGGAACTTGTAACACCCCTGCACCTGGCTGCTCTCTATGGCCAAATGGATATGGTGTTAACACTCTTGAGAGCGGGCGCCAACCCGAATCTTTTGTGTGCCCACGGCTCATCACCACTGGGGTGTTCTGTTGCCTATGGTGACTTCCGAGTCACTCGTTGTCTATTGAGCAATGGCGCAAGCCCTATGACATCCTTCGACATCACTTTCGACACGGTTGACGTCGATGTGGATATCATGCGCCAGTTGATTGAGCTTGGAGCGGATCCCTATGAGGCAAGACCAGGTACCGGAAGTACTCTCACGAATGCGATCTATGGGAGTGCTAAGGGCATGTCACTTGTACTGAATGGAAACTTTGACTTCCATCGCCTTGCAGATCAGGAACCGCTCTTACTCAGCGAGATTCTTGCTCACAGGAAATTATCGTCCATAGAGCTCAAAGCGATCATCAAGCGCATGCCACATGAGTACCGTGCTCGCTTAGTGAACTTTGAACCGGATGACAAACACACTCCATCATTTTACATTATCCGCGATGACGATCCGAAGCTCCTGCAGGTATTACTTGATATGGGTCTGGACATTGAACGCGAGTGGCATGGGAAGGGAACACCGTTGATGTTTGCTGCCAGCATTGGGGCCTTGAAATGCTTCAAGCTCCTCGTTCGCCACGGCGCAAGGCTGGCATACCTCACAACCGGAAGAAGAGGCGAAGTCATTGCGAGATCCGTGACCGAAATCGCAAAGCTCCATCCCCGCCTCCTTCAATGGGCATTGATCGATCGTCACTACGAGACAAAGTATCTCACACAAGCAGCACATAATGAAACTTTTATCCCTACGAAATCCTGGTCCGGCGGACAAAGGGCGGTATATAGAGTTTCAGGCACTGGTGATGAGATCCCCCAGCTGCCAACAGAGTCTATGTTGGACTTGCTCCACCGAACGGCGAGGATGAAGAGGGGTATGAGAGGAAGAGTATTGTTTCCTGTCGACCTTTGTGAAATCACGCTGGGATTTGAGCCGTGGTAGGAATGCGTGCGAGCCCGTCTGTGTGTTGAGAAGCCATGGGTTCCGGTGCGCAGAGTCTAGAGATACCACAGGAAAGCACATCTGTCTTTCGTATTGGCGGTTGGGACGGCCAGCCCAACGGCCTGCTGTATGATTCCCTGCTGGCCCGGAGATTACTTTGTATGATAGGACTGGATGCATTGGGTGTTGAAGAAGAACTGATAGGATAGTTCAGATAATAATTGTAATGTAGTGTATTGTAAGGAAGTGTCCCCAGACCATGAAGGTTTAAGCTACTCACAATAAGCAAGGATAAGACCTTTATCCTGAGCGGTGAAGAGACTTGGATAATTTTTGTCTCGTGATTTGGCCTATAGCCCGGTCAATTTAGGCACCTTATCTCAAGACTCGAAGTTTTCTTGTTCCCAGGGGGGTGCCCAAGTAGCTAAGGGCCACAAAATCTAAGGTTGCACTGCTATTGCGTAGCACCTTGAACAGTCTTGTCTATGCATGATTGGTTACTCAATTGATGCTTCAAATAGAGCCGTCTCTTTAAGTACTGTAATGTTTAGGATATGCAGTTTGCTTGGTCTCTTGTAGGGCCACATCGATGCCTGCTGTGTCGCTCCGTCATCCAGACCAGGATCACCAACGTCGCAAAAGTCTCGCGATATTTTAGATAGATTGCAGATATAAAGGCCAGAGGACGCATCTCTGTTCTGTTTTTAGCCTTATTAGGGTGCTGATTGGGGGTTTGTCTTGTCCATGAACAGTGGCAGGCGTGGTAAGAATGTAGGCAGAGCAAATGAGAAAAGTCGGGGGGGTATAGCGTAATAATTTCTTGAACAGACTGTATACCTGATCTACCGGTACTCTAGTCATGACGGTGATATAGGATCGAAGACCTAGGGCCTTTCTAAAGTCGAGATATTCAAACTTCACCAGATGATAAATCTTGAGGGAGTATTGGGTATCGAAAGGATCTCCCGAACTGAAGCAAGTAGAACAAAGGGACAGCTGTCAATTCGAATTAATTTAAATATTCTAAGAGTTATGATACTGAGTTATGCTCGGTCGGGGAAAGCTGAAGAGATATATCGATGTACGGAAGGACGAGTCTGCGAGGCGAGGGGCTTCATCGTGGAGCCGATGGGATAGCTGTGTGGTCAAGAGTGATTATAAATGGACAAAATCATAGAAGTGGTCGGCAATATCAAGTTTGAAAGGATCATAACAAAAAGATAGCTCTGTCTCTCGACATATCACTCCAATATCAAGGAATAAGGACGATGTTGGCATCTGAATATCGGCTTTGAATTTTTACGGCGGGTAGCTTCTCTGGTCGATGTATAAGGATGGAAGCACTTGGACCTGACGCTGAAAGAAATTCAAAGGGAGTATCTAATCGGTCGAGGTCCGGGGTATATATGCTGTGACATGATGGAAAGCAAGCTTTGCTGGAGATGGGAGTACATATACCAACAACGGCAATGCACTTTGTCGTATTTAAACCTAGTACAATAGTTTTCACAAGATCTCGCTTTTGAATAGAATCTACTTGGAGAGTTCCAGAGGGAATCATTCCACCCAGGCCGTTAATAATCTAGCTGTTTCATTATTGTGTGGCCATTTCACAGCAACCAACCATAGATGATAGCACCATTTTTATCAGTCAACCAATTATGTTCTATCCATAAAGGTCGTTTTAAGCCTCAGATATAAGAATACCTTTGTTCTTCACTTAATTTAGTGGAAGTTCAGTGGAGTTCAGCTGTATCTTTCCATCACGTCACTATCGTCATGCGCCTGCCCTATCTGGTTTTGAGAACCCGGATAGACAAGTGAGCACCTTGATGGGCAACCCTGATGTCTTTTCCCGTGCCAACACCACCAAATTTGATGCGATGGCCTCGAAAAACAGCCAGAAACAGAGTTGATCTCGGATATTGTCGATGCTGATATAGTGTGCGTTGCATCATTGTTGCCGCGTCTAGCGGGAGGACCCTGGGGGTTGTTGATAAGGCTGAGACGGTGAGAAATGAGTATAAGAGTGAGGCCGTCCCTTGGTTTGGCTCTTGGAGTCTTCAAGATGAAAAAGCACTTGCTTGATCATTGATAGGCAATGACAAGGGAAAGTCTCAAATCGCCCTGGACATGGGAGAGGATACTTCTCTCGTCACTGTCAGTTTGCTATACCCGAAAAGTACCATGGATCATTGGACTCGGGAGTCTTCCATGAGAGTAATACAACAGCAGCTCAGTTATCCTCAGCCACTAGCCTCGATCATCACGGAACCCGTCTCTTTGTATCGAGAACTCGCCTCCTTTTGTTCATCGCTTCCTTCGGTCTCCTTCGGCGCCGACCTCAACCTCAACCTCAACCCGGAGTCAACTCAACTTTGCCGACCGTGGATACAACATTTACCTCACCCACGTCCTCTCGCAAGGTCCACGACCCATGGCCCCATTATCACGGTCTTATTACTCCTGAGTCTCACGACGAAGCCATATCCCTGAGTCCCCCCACGAGAGATATCCCGGTTCGACTTTCCATCATGATACAAACTACCCAGCCGAGTTCCGAGACCTTGTCTCCATCCCACGCCTTGAGATTATTATGACTGGATACAAGACCAACTTGGGCGTCATTACTATCAGCTCAGACCGGGCGGGGAGACACTCGGTTGCCCCGTATGGAGACGACGCCTGAATCCCGGATTGCCTCCGTGTGATAGCGGACTTTGGTGTGTGATGACGATGTAGCGAAGTAGTTGATGCTCATGATGAGATGATGTTGTTCTGCCCTTGGTGTGTTGTAGAAGGGCAGATGAGAAAACGCTTGTCTTGACCTGATCCAATATTGATCGCTTCACCAGAGATACCTGGTGTTGAAGACAGTAGGCATTCTCATGTCCTAGAATGATCGTCATGCACAGATGTAAGTCTCCGCCGTTATCTCTTACGTCCCAGCTTTATTCTTTCTCTAGCCCCTCTTTCTCTCCCTTTTATTTCCCTCAAAGAGATCTTGTTCCCTATCGTCGCGTCCGTTTGCCGCGTTAGACGTGGGTCACGACAGCTCATCGTTTCCTATGGATCAATCACCCACTCTCGATCCCATTTACACTCCCACGTCGGCACCCACACCTCCGGTAGCCCGATGGGTTTCCCATGACTAAAGTCTCATCATGCACGGGCGTAATAGTCCTACGCTTTCACCATTGCTTTGGGATATACTTTCACTGCCTTGTGTTTCCCATCCTCGCTTGGTGTAAGAGGGCCCAACACACCAATCATTGCCCAATCTTGCCAAAGATGCATGCGCGGGATGCATGCATGAATGGGACAGAAATAATCGACTCTGAACCGTCGATGTATTGGCTTTTGTGGTCCCCATCCATGCCCACGTTGTTCTCGATTATCCCTCATCGATCCGTCTCACTTATGCCTATCACACTCCATTGTTGTTGATAGGCTTGTTCATCACACTGGTTCGTCACGTTCACGTATCACGATGATGAACTAGCCCTCGCCGTGCAGCTACTGCATGATTCTCTTGGCTGTTTATTATCATTTCAGCGGCAAGCATTACTCGATTGTCGTTGGCTTCACTTTAACATGATCATCTATCAGACATAGCTCGTCTGCTATTGGTTGCCTCACATTATCCGTCCATCTCGTTGTCTTGGTTCACTACCCCACTCGGCGAATAAGTCTAACTCTTATTCCTCTCACATGATCACATCCATTCTCATCGCTTCCTCTTACACCTTCTCCCCCTGTGTGTACCCCCATCCGGCATATCTATTCTCTTGATTCGTCCACGTACAGGACAAGACGTCTCGGTAGGCCCAAAGGGAAACTACCCCGGCTTCGATGCAGGGTCTTGAGGTACAACAACCTTCTTCTCTTTCTCTTGCTACCCTGGTTCGAGCCCCTACTCACCGGTGTGGACAATAGACGAAACTCTTTTAGTCAGTCCGACTTGAGCCGTTCTAAAGCTCTGTCGTCGCCGGGATGAACCCCCACTCTCAAGTCTCCAAGTTCCATGGAGATATGACTTGCTTCAGGTGCTGCCTTGTCCCTGGCAGCTATACTGAGCCATCGGTAACCGGCTCAGGCTAAGACATCCATAGCCACTGGTCGTGCCTTGCGAACTACATCTGCATGCGTTACGTGGCGATACCACTACGGTGTCAGCAGCAGGCCTCAGTAGCATGCAAATCCTACCTTTTCTGGAAAGAAACTGGCAGTTCCGCATCTGGTGCCATTCGATTGAATAGGCGCAAGTCTAGGTTGCAACGCCGGTGGCCATGAAACTCATTTCGCAATGGCTGCATCTCGGGACGGCGCGAGTAGAGCTTGAGCTGGAGCTTCACGGTGGAGAGCTCTCCCTGTAGTGGAGGCTCGGCGCAACCACTATGCATCATCTCGGCCAATTACAGAAACATGGGCCTCCCACCTCGTACATGGGCATGCGGGGTGAAGGTCACTTTGACTTGGGAGGACCCTGAGACTTGGTTGGAGTCGAGACAAGTTGGTGATGAACTGAGTGGATTCACTCCCACCTCCATACACGCCCATACCCACGCCGGATGCGATAATCAGACAACTAAGAGATGGAGTATGATCGAAGGTGATTGAGAATATGAGGGTTTGAAAAGTATAAGAAGGGTGGTTCATCTCGCTCAAATCGGGTTTTGTTCATCATCCAACAATCTCACTCTTCAACACACACAAACAACACTTACCACTTTTTTCGAAGACCTTCTTCACCAACAACTATCAACATGTCTCCCTGGTGAGCTCCCCTCTATCTACCTCCGCATCTTGATGGTTATCAAGCCTGAAAGAGTTGCAATGGTGAAGCACCGAGCATTCGACTAACAGTATCTAGCTCTTGCTGTAACCACGAGGCCTCTACCTGCAGCTCCAGCTGCTCTTGCTGCAAGGTTAGCTCCTCCTACCAGACACCATCTTGTATATTGAACAGTTTCTGATTACTTATAGCACTAAATTCCTTC